AGTTGAACATTAAGACAAAAATAATGACTACAGAAGAACTACACAGCTTTAGTACTGACAATGAATAAACTGAAATAGATATTTTATATAGCTTGTCTCTGTCATCAATCTAAGTGGAGACTGCGGTCTACAAATCAGAAGACGAGTGAGACTTGGAAGGGCAGTAATAAAAGAATTAGAAAATATAATCAAGTGTAAGGATGTTTCACTGGAGACCAAGAGCAGGACCATCCAAACTTTTTTATTTCCAAACACCATGTATGGGTGTGAAAACTGGACAATAAATTAAGTTGCCAGATCTTTTTTTTGGGATTCATTTGATATGTGGTGCTGGAGGACAGCTTTGTTCATATTCTGGACTTCCAGAAAGAGGAAGAAACAGGCTCTACATCAGACCAAACCAGAACTATATATGGAGGCCAAAAATGCTGAAATTGAGGCTGTCCTACTTTGGGCACATTATGAGATGGCAATAAAAAAACAATAGTACTGGGAAAAGTTGGAAACCTGTCCTACTTTGGGCACATTATGAGATGGCAGGATTCTCTGGAAAAAAATGATAGTACTGGGAAAAGTTGGAAACTTCAGGAAAAGACCAAATATAAGATGGATTGAGTCCCTAAAAGAAGCCACAGGCTTGAGTTTGCAAGAGCTGAGCAGGATTGTTTAGGACATGACATTTTGGAGATTGCTAATTCATAGGGTCACCATAAATTGATGGTGGTTTGATGGCACGTAACAATCAATCACCATAAATTGATGGTGGTTTGATGGCATGTAACAATCAACAAGCTTGTTACAGGAAGGGGAGAAAACTTCTGTCCCTATGACCAACCTTGTCAATAAGGAGGGGAGAAAACTTCTGTCCCTATGACCAATTTTGTGAGATGACCCCCCCACCTTGTCAATTAGCAACAATTAGCCATGGCAAATTACACAAATCTTAAGCAAACAACTACGGGATTCTGCCCAGTATATGCAAAACCAAAATTTCTACAGCTCAAAATTCAAGAGGCACAAACTTTCTTTTATGTTAGCTCATACAAAAGTGATGACAATGTGAAAAGCAAAATGAGCAGTTGGCTCATTGGAACCCTCAGTCCTGATCGAGAGTAGGCCTTTCTCCCCCTGACTGTTAAAGGTGCTCTGTGCGGATCTCTCCACAGAATGTTCATTGGTGTTTCCAGGATGAAGAAAATATTTCTTGAAAATAGGAGCTTTTATCAATGTTACAATAAGGTGGTGATAACAAAAATTGCCCACTACATTCTTAAAAACTGGTCAGAATCTTATTAATGTTTATGTAAGGTTTGTGTAACTTGCCATGTAACTGATGAGGTGGGAGTGCATTTAAGTTCCACAACTGGGCACGCGACCAGGCACGCCACTGAGACTTGTGCCAACACCCCCATCAATGAGCAGCAATTAGCAGCTGCTAGTTTGAAAACTTTATACACATAGCACCAGAAAGATGTTCACCATTTGCTCATCTGGGATTCTGGTGCCTTCTCCTTAGGTATTCCCCCCCCCCATGCCATTTACTCACCATCCCCCTTTTGTGTTATATTGGTGGTGCTGCTGATCAAATTCGGAGTTCTGAGGATTGTTCTCCCATAGGTTTTTATATGTAATTGAACCGGATAGGAAGGCGGAAAGCATTTGTGCACAATTACAAGTAAAATGGGTTAACACCGGTGTAAATCCCATTCATTCTAGAATTGTTTTACAAATGGCCACGCCTTCAGTCCAAAATTCCCGCCCTTATTTTTTCCCCCACTGCTACATATGGAACATACGAAATAATGTAAATAAACGAGACAGAGCTTCCCGCCGCGGCCGCGCGCACCTCCCCAGCCCCCTCCCCCGGTAACACAACAAGCACAGCGAGACATAAAAGGCAAGTCTTACTCTTCCTGTTTAACCCCTGAAGCGGAATAGGAAGGACGGAAATCGTCAACGCGCGGCTTCTGATTGGCTGCCGCTTCGGCCGGGGCACTTGGGTCTGCTTTCTCGCGCCAGTTTCAGGCGCTTTGGCGCGAGAGCGTGGATTGTCGGGGAGGCGTAAGGGGAGCGAGAGAGGCGGCAACCTGCAAGCTTCACCATGGATTGGAGTGACCGTCCGCGCGACCGGGTCGAGAATGGTAGCCATGGAGGTAAGAGAGGGAGCGGGCGCAAGGTTGCGGGGTGAGGTGGGGTTGGTTGGATGGATGGATGGGCCAGATAGGATGATGAGAAGGAAACAGAGCCGCCTGGTCACTGTGCAGAGGCTGAAACAAGATGAAAAAGGGGTGGCAAGACCTGGGAAGGCTTATTGTTTTTTTCGGAAAGGGAATTGAATTCTGACTTCATCCTCTTTGCACACTGTGCAAAGTGGCCGCTGGTTGCAAGCCCGGTTGCAAATAAGAGGACTACGGTAGCAGATCTCTCATAGCTGAGGTGGTGTTAATGGTTACTCAGAGGTGCCCTCTGATTCAGAGGAGTTGTGGCTTGCTTTTCACTCGGAAGTACAAACCACTCACAGTCCAGTTCTATAACAGAAGCCCTGTTGACTTCGGGGAAACTTACAGTAGTCCTAAGTGTGCTGGTGTGGGTCTGCAGGAAGCAATGCAGATTTCCGGGTAAAGGCATTTATGCCGCGAGGAGGAGGAGGAGCAGGAGCAGAAAAGCAATGCTGTGTGAGTGCCCAATAATATTTGAATGTCATCCACTATTTAAATCTTATGGAAGGCAAATGAAGGCTTAAGAAACTGGTAGCATACTTGAGAAACCAGAGGCCTTCTACCACCTGTAGGATTTGCTAGTTTTTTGTTTTTCGTAAGCTTTCATGTCTTCATTAGATGAAGACTTCTGGTTTCTCTTGCAGTACCAAGTGAACTAGTGTGGGCCACTTGGGAACAATAAAATTGTAAAGTCACTTAATAAGAGCTATTTCAGGATATTGGTAAATTAGTCACTTTTCTTGCTTGACAGAGGGCAGGGTAAATGAATGAAGCCACCACTGTGGATTGGACTGTTGGTGGCTTCTTGACTGGCCCTTTAAAGGGGAGGCAAAGTAAAGATTGTTTAAATGTTTCTATAGCTGATGTAGCATATTAGCAGTAGTCTACATACAGTCAAAATGTTTATTTCACCTCCCGTGCCCTCTCCTGAACAGGGAAAGTGATTAATGAATCAGTTTATTAGCTATTATCACGAAATGTTGTTTAAGCCACTTCACAATACCAGCAAATTGAAACAGGAAGGCTTGCTTTTGAACCAATCCAAGCCAGAGTGATTCTACCTGCACCAGAAAAATAGAAGCCCCCTGACAGGGACCAAAAAGGTGCAGGTAGGAATGCTCTGTGGACGGGTTGGTCCACTCTAGCAAAAATGTCATCTGCTTGTCAAACACATTCGAAGCAGTAAGGTACAACAATTCATTTGAAAACCCCACTCAGGCAGTCACTCACTCAGGGAAAGCCTGCCTGAAGAGAAAGGTCTTCACCTACTTTCAGAAGGATAGCAAGGATGGGGTCAGCCTGGCTTCCTATGGAAGTGAGTTCCAAAGTCAGGGGTCAGCAACAGAGAAGGCCCTCTTCAGTGTCCTCACCAAATACACTTGTGAAGGTGATGGGATTGAGAGCTAGTGGAGCTGCTATAATTGGGAGGGGGGTGTTATGTGATTCCCTGTAAGCAGCCCCAGTTAGCAATTTGGCTGCTGTATTTTGGACCCACTGAAGTTTCCAGATACTTCCCATAGCAGCCCTGCACAGAGCACATTAAAGTAGTCCAAAAAGGTTGTAAATAAGGCATGTGTCACCATGGCCAGATCAGATCTCTCCAGGAATGTGTACAGCCGTCGCAGTAGTTTTAATTTTCAAAGGCACTCCTCGTCACTGCTGAAACTTGGGCTCAGAGATGAATCCAGGAGCATCCTCAAGCTGTGCACCTGTGTTTTCAGAAAGAGTGCAACCCCATCTAGCATAGCTTGCATCCCTATTCCTTAGTCTTTTCACTGACCAGGAGCACCTCTGTCTTGTCTGGATTAAGTTTAATTTTATTCACCCTCATCCAGTCCTATACTGACATCAGACACTGATTTATAGCTGAAACAGCCTCAGATTTAGATGGCAAGGAGAGATAGATTTGGGTATCATGAACATACTGGTGACACCGGAGCAAGGAGGGCTTTTTTAAACAATTGTGTTACTATTGCCTTCTTTAAGCATGCTGGGATCTTACCCTGTTGCAAGGAGGCATTTATCACTCCTCCTACCCACTTGACCAGTTCTGACAGCTTTGATAAGCTAGGAAGGGCAAGGGTCCAGTAGAAATGTGGCAGCCTTCACTTCTCCAAGGGTCCTGTTCACATCCTCAGGTCACAGAAACTGATACTCATTCATTATTGCTGGAGAAGCAGGGGCCATAGTTACAGTCACCAGACCTGAATCAACTAAAACATACATTGTTGGGGGAAAATTGGTAGAAAGATTTCTTAATCTCCTCTTCTTGCTTTTGGCCATGGAAGCAGATGTTGGAACTGAAGATGTGAAGAAAAAAAGTGATTCTTAGTAATTTCGATAAGTTTTTTGGAGGAAAAGTGGTAGACCAAGACTCCAGTTTCTTATTTAAAAGTCTTAACTGTAAATAAGCAGTATACAGTGGTGCCTCACAAGACGATATTAATTCGTTCCGTGAAAAATGCTGTCTTGCGAAAACATCGTCTTGTGAAATGCGGTTCCCCATTGGAATGCATTGAAATCCATTTAATGCGTTCCAATTGAAAAATCGTCGTCTTGTGAAAATTGTCCATAGGAAACATCGTCTTCTGAAGTGAAACAGCGATCGCAAAAACTAATCGTCTTGCAGATTAATCGTTTTGCGAGGTAATCGTCTTGCGAGGCACCATTGTATTTGTAATTGATTATCATAGCAGTGTGTCAATATTTCTGCATGTGTAAGTTGTGCATTTGTTTCCACAGTTTAAATCTATAACTTAAATTGTTTTGCTTTTTAGAGCCAACTAATTCACCAAATCTTTCAGCATCACGTTCACGGCGTGAGAAGAAATCTCAGAAAGGAAGACAAGAAGCACTGGAACGTTTGAAAAAAGCAAAAGCTGGGGAGAAAATAAAATATGAAGTAAGTACAATAATAATTTGAATATTTAGAGCAATATTGGGTTCGCTGCAGGATCTTCTTCCTGTATTCTGCTGAATGTGGTCATAGTCTATCATGTTTAGAGGGCACCAGACTGGAGAAGGCTGGAGTAGCTAAATGTAATGGTGCTTTTCAGATTATTGTATCTAATAGCGGGGGCAAGATTTTTTGCTTTGGACTGTCTCTGAGCAAGTAAGTTTGGAGATGTTTGTGACACTTATTCTTATTTAGAACTTCTGAGAGGGAAGCTTAAAGCTTTTCTGTCAATTATTATCTTGCCTTCAGGGTTGGAACAAGACTTGCCACCCCCGTTCTTTGCACAGTATTGCTGTGGGGAGAGAGAAGAGAGTCTTCCTAGGGTGCCTTCCCCTAGGAAGTCTGTTGGAAGATAGTTATTTCCGTGTTGATATGAGCCACCCATGTACGATCTAAGTAATGTCTGAATACCTTAATGTTTTTAACATATTCCCCAGTCCATCAGTAGACAGATGCAGCTAATGTTGTTACTTTCTTATTCCAGGTGGAGAAGGTTGCAAGTGTTTATGATGAAATTGATGAAGAACAATATTCTAAGATTGTCAGAGAACGACAGGATGATGACTGGATTGTGGATGATGGTTTGTTAAATAGATTTCATTTTCCATTTTTAAAATTTGGACTAAAATATAAGATGCTGCTGTTCAATTGGTATTGCTGCTGATATGATTTAGGAAAACTTTGCTGTTTACATAATTTAATATATAATATATTTGGCTCTTGGCCTATGATACACAAACTACTTCAGCTTTAAGCTGGCAAAATGGAAAGTAGGCTACAAGGTTTTAGTAAAAATTAATGTGTTCTGAATTACTGTATGATGTAATGTTAGTAATATGTTCAGAATCTACTGGCTGGATCCTTTTTTGAATATCTGATATTAATCTTGTAAGCATTTTAATAACATTTTTTTTGTAAAACTAAGTTGTGTTGAATGTGTAACATTCGTGTTAAATGGAGAGTGACTTAGATCAGTGGTGAGGACATTTGCTGCGTTGGCCTTGCGAGTGTTGTAAAACTGTGGCTTTCATCAGCCAGAACCAGCACGGCCAAAACTGATGATAGTTGGAATCCAATAGTATCTGGAGGATACAGGTTCTGTTAGCCCAGTTTTTAAATACTCATGGTCCAAAATAATGGATGTCACCTGGAACCTAGTTAACCATCATATCCAGATAAATTCTACGTCTTGTAAATTAAAATGTGACTGTCTTATGGTAAGTGATGGTCCTTTTTTTTTCATAGATGGAGTTGGTTACGTAGAAGATGGGAGGGAGATTTTTGATGAAGACTTAGAAGATGATGCTCTTGATTCTAACAAAAGTGAGTAAACATTCTTTGGTAGTTAAATGATCTTTTTAAAATGGTAAAGCAGAGACTTAGTGATTACGGGGAAGCTGGTCCAAAATAATGGATGTCACCTGGAACCTAGTTAACCATCATATCCAGATAAATTCTACGTCTTGTAAATTAAAATGTGACTGTCTTATGGTAAGTGATGGTCCTTTTTTTTTCATAGATGGAGTTGGTTACGTAGAAGATGGGAGGGAGATTTTTGATGAAGACTTAGAAGATGATGCTCTTGATTCTAACAAAAGTGAGTAAACATTCTTTGGTAGTTAAATGATCTTTTTAAAATGGTAAAGCAGAGACTTAGTGATTACGGGGAAGCTGGCATGTTTTGATATTGCTGCCTCATGAAGTAGACTTTTACAGACACTACTGGCAGCATGGGCATGTCCTGGTCATTGCACGTACAGAGCAGTTCTTTTGCTAAATTACAGTTTGCTTGGCAAGAGTTCTTTTTGGCTTCTAGTAATGGGAGTGTCTTGTTCTACCAATTTAATTAGGTTCAGAGGATTTATACAATAAAGGAGCCTTCTTAGGCCATAGTGCCAAAATGTCACTTAGTATTACAAGCATTGGAATTAGTATGAGGTCAAAGCTTTCTCCCAGTTATCTTGCTCAGGATTGTTGTTGGAAAAGAGGAACCTCAGACTTGCTGCCTCCTTTTGGAGTTGGTACGAGGAGAAAGGCAAAACTTTTTTTCCTTTTAACCTTACCCACAATTCGATGTGTTATCTGAATCTAGACTATCTAATTGCAGCTTGTTGAAACAAAGCTGATCTCAAAACACAGTCTATATCTCTGTCTTTTTTCTGATAACCATGCCTAAGGTTAAGTAGAATTGAGGCTATAGTGATATTACAAAGTGCATTTAATATGAAAAAAGAAGCAGATGTTTCTGTCTATTCCTTCTCTTCCTCTAGATGAATTGAGTTTTAATGCCACCCTTGTATATTTAATATTGCTGTTAAAATAAAAGAGGGGTCGACAGCTTCTTAGCAGGATTGCATGTCCTTTGATCCCAGTAGGGACCACACCCTCCTGATCTTGCTGAAATGCAGCCAGTAGAGTTTCTATTTCCAACATCTTGGCAATTCTGTTGGGGCAGACACCCACATGCCCATGCCCTGCCTGCGCACATGCACGCCCCCTGCATGTGCACACAGGCTAAAGGGAATAGGCCGGACAAAATAGTTTGGAGACCCCTGCTTCACAGGAATGAGGATGGCTTCCCTTAACGAGCCTAGCATTTCATTTCTGCTGTGAAGAGCAGTTTGGAAGACTTTTGCTTCAATTTTTTGTTTAGTTGCAGCTTGTCTACAAATTTGGTCAGAAGCTGGTTACTGTTAAGTAGATATGGGGTATTTGTATTAAACACCCAGGGGAGATGGATATGACTATCGCCACCACAGGTGGCCGGGCCAATTGGACCCTCTCCCCAGAACCGGGCTGTCCGACTACTGCTTGTGATCATTGCTGTTTGCACCATACCAGTCACTGGAAGTAGCCCATTTGGGGCTTCCCCTCCTCCCTGCACTGCTGACCACACAGCAGCTGAGTGGGGAGACTCGTCACCCCGACTCCTTGCCAGATCTAGCAGCAGCGCCATGCCACAAGCAGTAAGTGAGATGAATACAAATATCCCATCTCTGCTATTAACTCTGGTTAGTTGAAATGAGGCTGTTTCAAACCACGAGTCTGGCTTGTTTCTCTCAAGGGGTTAGTTTTTTGCCAGCATACTAAACTGTGTTTCGACTAAAATGAAAATGAAAAGTTTCCAAATCCTTTTGGCTATGCTGGGAAGGAAGGGGTTTGACAGCTGTGCAGAGGCTAGGCTTACTGTTATAAAGCTGAATAATGTTTTAGCATTGCTTTTGAGCAAAGCTGTAGACTTTGTAACTTACGTTACCTCATTGATAGATTGTTCCTATTTTAAGATGTTGTTTATATCTTATATTGGCAGGAAAAAGAAACATAACTTCCACAAATGACAAGAAAAATGTGAAGAAGGCTGTGGTAACAAAACCAAACACTATTAAATCTATGTTTATGGCCAATACAGGGAAGAGAAATACTGATGTAAGTATTGTATTTTATGCAAAAAAGGATCTGAATAGTAATAGTAATAGTAGTAATAATTTGCACGGAACATTCTTTAGTGCTTCCTTTTATTTCTTTCTCCTTTACATGAAAAAGAGTACAGTGGAAGCAAAGCAGACAATTGTTTTTAGTAGATTGGAAAAGCTGGTTTTGTTCATGCCATAAGAATTTTATTTATTACCATTTACTGAGCACAAGTATCTCATTTTACAGAAAGCTATTGACCTGTCCAAGGATGATTTGCTAGGAGACATTCTGCAAGATCTGAATGCTGAGGTAGGACTGAATAATGTTTTCTGGGGAGATGATAGACAAGCACAATATGGTTTTTAAATGTATTTTTCTGCAGATACTCTAAAGAGAA